CAGTGAGCTATGATGATGTCACTCCACTCTAGCTTGGGTGGCAGAGGAAGACCCTGTCTCAAAAGGGTCTTTTAAAAGACCCTTTCTTTTCTCTTAAAAAGAAAAGAAAAGAAATTCATTAGGGCAAGTTTTACTTTTCATTTCTTACTCTTCTTTAGTGTTTACTTTTTTACCATATGCACATTCTAGATTTACTTAAAGAAATAAAGCAAAAATTGCCCAATGTAATCTCTGGTGGCATTACTATCAAATACCATCTTTTAAAAGGAAATACCGTTGAAAATTAAAAACAGATTCAACTTATGTTCACTAAAGCATAACAAACAGTTAAACAATTTTATACTATTATTATTCTATATATGAATTATACTATACTCTGATACTATTATTACACTATATAGAGTTAGCTATTCTGCTAAGTAAATATATAGATTCCCTTTAGAATTCACTTGTTTCTTTCATAATTATTTTCAACCTTAACTGCTGTGCCTCTGTTACTTAGTTTTCCAGCCCTCAGTCTAAATTGAAATGAAAATGTCTTCTTAGTGCGCCAGCAATAGAATTTAAAAATCTTTAGTCTGGGATGTTGTCATTTTGCAGACCTTAATGGCATCATCCTTGACTGACTCTGCACAGCAAATTCATTTCCTGTCCGCCTTGCAAAGACTAATGGGCTTTCCGACTGCAGTTTTCACTGACTTCTAATGACCCTGTGCACAGATAGGGACTCCAAGAGGACAATGCCATCTTCTGGCAGAGTTCCTGGGAGAAAGGAAACCTTGAAAGATGTCCTGCAATAAACCCCTTGTTCTGGGAAAACAGAACGTCAGGCTCTAGCACAGAAGTTTATTCTCCTCCTACTTTAGGATTATGTTCAAGCAAAGGTGAGAAGACAACTGTCTGCTAAAATAATTGTGAAAAGGCCTGAAATTAAAATATGTATAAATGCTTATAAAAAATAGTCATTTACGGTGGCTCACGCCTGTAATCCTAGCACTCTGGGAGGCCGAGGCGGGCGGATTGCTCAAGGTCAGGAGTTCAAAACCAGCCTGAGCAAGAGCAAGACCCCGTCTCTACTATAAATAGAAAGAAATTAATTGGCCAACTAATACATATATAGAAAAAATTAGCCGGGCATGGTGGCACATGCCTGTAGTCCCAGCTACTCGGGAGGCTGAGGCAGGAGGATCGCTTGAGCCCAGGAGTTTGAGGTTGCTGTGAGTTAGGCTGATGCCACAGCATGCACTCTAGCCTGGGCAACAGAGTGAGACTCTGTCTCAAATTTAAAAAAAATAATAATCATTTAGAGTACTCCACACTCCAGGACTTTGAGGAAAATGCTAAATCCAGAGGTGAGAGAGCCCATCAGAAAGTGAATCCAATACCCAGAGTAGGAAGTCAGAAGAGGAAAGGAGATCAAGCAGATCATACCATCTGACCCTTCGGATCCAGCAATTTCTGAAAGCAGACACCACTGGCATTTTCTCCAGCGTGAGCTGAGTTTTTCTCACTTGTAATTAAAAGGAGTTATAACAAAATAGTTCACTTTTATGAATATTTAGTTTTGGAGGCAAAATAGCCTGCTTTAAAAGGCCCAATTTCAAAATCCATTCATTCATGCAACACATATTTATTAAGCACCTAGGATGTGCTGGCGTATCACATCCTGTCAGTCAACCTGAGAGTAAAGTAAGCAGGTTCTATGCAGGGTGTTTTCAACATAGGCACTATTAGCATTTTAGGCCAGATAATTCTTGGTTGTTCAAGATTTTTTCAAGTGTGGACTCTGGCCAATATATGCCAGTTAAGTCCTCAGTCTCTGTGACAGCTGGAAAGTGTCACAGGTTTCCAGAAGTTCCCCTAGGGGGCAGTGCTATTCCGATTTAGAACAGCTGAGTTGGGGGAAGACAGGCCATGGATTACAGAACTAAAGATTTTAGAGCTATCAGGCATATGCTGTATATTAGACATGTCAGAAGTCCTTATGGGCAGGGGATGGACATAGGAGAAAACATTCCAGAAGGCAGAATACAGTGATATCAAGTATTAGAAGGAAAAAAGCAAATAAGGGTTTTAATGAACTTAGAAGAGCTGAGTAGGAAAAAATGTTAGACAACAGCAAATGAGTGAGGACAAACAAACAAAATGCTTCAGGTCGCCTGTAGCCAGGAGCAATATAAAACAAGCTAATGGTAAAATAGAGTTTTGAACCTACAAATTCAAAGGGGGACATTCTGCAGACAATTGGCCTCCCTCCCAATAAGGCAAGGCCGTAAAAACAAGGCAGGGGTTGGGGAGAACTGTTCTAGCCTAAAGGAGACCAAAGAAACCAAACAACTAAATGCAACGTGTGGACCTTGTGTGGATCCTGATTTGAACAATTTAGCTTCAAACAACATTTTGGGGACAATTGAGAAAGGTTGAACACAGACTGGATCTTAAATGATGTTAAGGAATCTTGTTTGATGTAGTTACACAGAAAAATGTTCATGTCTTTAAAATGCACAGTTAAATAATTAGCAATGAACAATCATCATGTAAAGTTGCCTAATATCTCAGCACCTCAATTTCTTCAGCAGCAGAGGTAATAATTACATCATACATTGTTGATAAGATTAGAATTCATATTTGTAAAGTACTTAAAACAATACCTGACATGTCTTGCCTCTGACTCCTGCTTGAAGAATATAAAATTGGCAAGTGTAAAGGATGGATTAGAGGGTCTAACCCTACAAATCCCTGAGCCCCATCAAAGATGCAGCAAATGGTAATCTCAGTCACACAGTTGATGCTGATCCTGTAGGAAAAACTGAATTAGACTTCCTGGTTCTCAGCAGACAGGAGAGAGAAAGGAAAGCAAAGCATATTCCTGACAGCCTGAGACGTCCTGGGTGGGCTGGGGGAATAGACTAGAGCAGAAAACTCCATGAATAATTGTGATTCCCGACCACCACCTGTGCCAGCCCCCCCCTTCCCCACCCCAGTCAGGAATAGCTGAATTAGAGGAATTGATAACTGCACGAGGAGACCACACAAGGAACACACAAGGAAAGGAATGAAGACCATAAAGAAATACGAAAACAATCAGAATGGAAAGAGAGGTAGATCAGGGAGATACAGGAGGACCAGGAGCTAGGTGTGTTAGGGACCGACTTTTTACAGCCCCACCGGACAGAAAAGTAGAGACATTGAGGATGTAATTATACAAGAGGAGGTTTATTTTTTGGCTAGCCAGGGTCCAAGCCCTAGAGCACCAACGCAGTGGCCACTCTTGCAGGCAAGGACCCCGACTGGGGTTGCAGCGTGCCTTTTATCCCTATGGTGCATACGCTAGGCAGTGGCTGATCACGCGTGGATCATGCATGGACCTTTAACATGATTGGTTGGCTGGTAGCCCCACTATACAGGGGTTCAAACAATGCAAAGTTGGTGCAAACAAGCAAGCAAGCAAGCAACGGTTTCCATGGCAAGCAAGCAACAGTTTCCAGAAGCCGGATGTTAGTTCCGGCTTCACTGGGGGTGTGTGCCTTGCAGGTATGCAATGTCTCGACCCCTCACAGGTGATTGGACATACAGGGTAAATGAAGTCAAAGACGATGCCAGTATTCAGATGATGTCAGGCATAGTGGACAGAAGGAGCAATGTGGAAGTCATGTTAACCTGTAAATGTGAGTGGGATATCTAGGGAGAGATACAGCGCAACCAACTGGTACCAATTCCCAAATAGGCCAAGGGAAATGCTATTGATATATGTGCATCTAGGGAGAAATGTACCTAGAAACATTGATTTAGGAATATTCTGTGTGAAAACTGTGATGAAATCATTGGTCATAAATGAGACCAGTAAATGCAAAAGTGTTAGGCATAAAAGAACAAATCTTGCAATGGAAGAAGCTCTCAGAGCTCCTCTCAGCCTTTAAGGATAGATTTCAAATGCACAGACATGGAATACCCCCTAAAATCTGCCCCCCCCCTCACTCACCTTGCCGCAACCTCTTGTGGCCACTTAGCCTTACTGAACTGTCATCTCAACAGGGCCAAAACTAGACTCATCAACCTTCCCCACTACAAGGCATATTAATACTTTCAAATTTTTTATTTTAAAGTCTGGTCTATCTTCAGTGGCCATGCCAGAAGCCTAGAAGAGCCCTTCCTCTTTGACAAACATCCAATTGTCACCAGGTCCTGAGAAGTCTATCCGCTGAGTGCATCCTGTCTCAATGTTGCAAAAGCAACCAGCAAATCCAAGTCTCTGACATCTTTTACATCTCTGTTGTCTCAATACTTTTTTAACTGGGATCCTGGCCCCCAGTCTTGCTTCTGCAGCCATAGAGAGCAAGCTTCCTCAACTACCAATCTGAGCCTTTCAACTTATTACAAAACTTATAGGTAGCTTCAAATTGCCTTTGGGATAAAGTACTAAACAATGAACATGGCCACTAGAACCTCAGTTTTGGGGCTAATATCTATTCATTTATTTTATTTTTTATTTTTTTTTTTTTTACAAAATACCCTCAGATTCTATATTCATTTATTTTAGATCTGAACTTCAATATCACCATGTTCTTCCTTGGAAATCACACTTTATACTAATTTCTTGATTATCTATGTCCTTAGTGTAGTCTATACTACACTAAAGAGTAAGCTTACTGAGAAGTAGAGACTGAGGTTGTTGCTCTTAGCATAGAACCTAAGTACTCAAAAACTACTAGATGGATGGATGGATAGATGGAGGTTGGCTATGGAGTCTTCCAAACTTGACAACTTCTCTTTACGGTCTTTTTTTTTTTTTTAATGAAGATAGTCTTTTCCTGTTGCCAGAGCTACAGTACAGTGTGGCATCATCATACCTCACTGCAACCTCACACTCCTGGCCTCAAGCGATCCTCCCGCCTCAGCCTCCCGAAGTGCTAGGATTACAGGTGTGAGCCACCATGCCCAGCCTTTATGTTCTAAATATATGTTTTACATGTTGTTGTTTTTGCCTAAAAGGTACTCACACCATTCTTAATTAAGTCTTCTTCAAACTCTTTGACCTTCTTAACCATTTTTTAAGCTTTCAACTCCGGCATCACTTCCTCAGTGCTCACGAATCAGACTGTAAGTTCACAGGACCCCAAGTACCATGACCCTTCTCAGTATATATGACATCACAATTACACTGTAACCAACTGTTTATTTTTCCCACACTAGACCCTAAACTCCTCATTTCATTACACATTACATTACACTTATTCATTTTGAAATGCTTTATTGAAGACTAACATAAAGTACCCAAATCATAGTATAGGACTTGGCGAATGTTCACAAAGTAAACACATCCATGTAGTAAGGATTCAGGTTAATAAATAAGACATAAAAGCACTAAAGAACTCTTTTTTCAACCCCAATGACTAGTACAGTGCCTCTCATCTTCTCTCTCTCTCTGTCTCTCACACACACACACACACACACACACGCACGCACACACATACACACGCGCACACACACACACACACACACACGCACACAGAGTCACATAGACATACCAAATAAATGAATGCCTGAATAAATGACTCAGAGAAGTAATGGAGGAGCTATAGTGCAATTAGGAGCTTGAAGTGTCACAAAAAAAAAAAAAGAAAGAAAGAGCTTCACAAAAAGAGAGGAAACTCAAAAGATGCCAAGAAGTAAAAGAAAATTAATGGGGGGGGAGTTGCATCAGAAGACTGGCAACTGCTGAACTTTAAAAAATATTTCTATATCGAAAGCCAAAATACAGGGAGTTGAAGAGTGAGTAGTTGTTAGGAAAGTAGAGAGAGTGAATGTGGTTTTGGTGATGAAAGGAAGACGACAGGACCAGGGAAGGACTTTAAACAAAAGAAGCCCACGTAGCACTGTAGGTGACACCACGAATTCAGAGTCAGCCTCCTTGGGATCATCAGATCTTCACAGTGCCAAATACCTGGGGTGTGACTAAGGACACAGAGCTTCGTTCAGTTCCTTGTTTGTAACACAAGGTTCATAGTAATACCTCCCTCATGAAGTTGTGAGGATTAAGCAGGATATTTCATGTAAAATACTCAAATAATAAACACGAAACAATTTTATCTTGAAAAATTGCTGCAGGCAGATAGATATTTGGAAAAAGAAAAAAAGAGATAAGATAAAAGAGAGATAGTAATTCAGTGGAGAGAATGTTGGACCAATGTTGGCAATGTGGATTCTTATCTGGGCTCTGCCATTTGCCAACAGATCATTAAATGTTCCTGAGCTGCAGCTGTAAAATGGTATCATCATAACGTATCCTATAAGGGTGCTGCAAAATCAATGAAACAATGCGTATATACGAATGCAAGTAATGGCTTTATCATTCCTAGATGGATGGGAAGTAGTCTAAGAAGAAAGGAACCCAGAAATAGCTGAATGAAAGAGCTGGACCCCCCAACTCACTATAAAAGCACTTAAATCAGGACTGAGTGGAGATGGTTTTGTGGACACCAGAGGGAGACAGCCTCTCGGTGACAAAGAACCTAGGAGAACAAGGCTTAGGCCAGAATCCAAGTACTGGGGCCTCTTCACTATAGTTTCAGCTCAGAGCTGAGATAGGAACCCTGAGCCCAGATGGGAAGCCCAAGCGCGGTCTCAGCAATGCCAGTGAAAAGAGAGGCTGGGCCAGAGGTTGCAGGGATTGCAAAAGGAATATAATTTCCAATGAAAGAAAAGGCAACAATGTACACTGAAAAAAAAGAGCTTTGTCCCCGAAACGCCATTGCCTTGCTTTAAGTGAATGAGACACGCTAGTTTAATAACCGCGACACAAGCAAGGTTCCTGTGGCTTACGTAACACTTAAGATTCTCTGGAACTCTTGAAATGAGCTTCTGAGGTTATATTATGTATGGGTCCCTAATTCAGGGAACTAGAAACTATTGAATTAGAGGCAACTGAGAGTGGAGCCAAGGTGAAAAGAAAATTAGAAGAAAAATGCGAAGAGTTCGAGAATTCCAAGAGAAAGATTTTCTTGAGGAAAAATTTCCTGTTTGCCAGAGGGTGTATCTGTCTGGCTGAGTCACAGCAAGTATCCAAACTCAGGTCCCCAGACGCTATATCTTGAGCCCACCAGCTAGGGTGATAACAAGCAAGCACATTTTAAATGTTGCAGGAAACTCCCTCCCACAGATGACTTCTGGCCAAAGAGTGTAGGTCTTTCCTTTTTCCATTTTTTAAAATTTTTTTATTTATTTTTATTTTTTTGTTGCTCTTGTTACTTAGAGCCTAGGTCAGGTAACGTGTTCAACTGGATAATTCTGCCTTGAGTTTTCAAAAAGAAAACTGACCAGTTATCTTATACTTTGTACCTCTATAATCTGATTTCTGGGACCAGGGCAAATACCATGGCATTTACTTATCTTTGAATATAGCAGGCTCCCCTTCCCAAGGGCAATATTTCCTGATTATCTAAAATCTACAGATGAAAGAAGCTATGTAAATTATCACTTCAGTTTGTGTGCTCTTGATGTCCTCTTGATTTCATACCATTAGCTTCTTAGAAAAAAATTTCCATGGCATTCAGTTGAACTGTGTCCCTTAATGTAATAGCTTTTGAGAATTGTAGCCCACTCTTTTTTTAAATAAACTAACTATTCATCAAGTGTTCCAACAATGTTTCTAGTACTTTATATTAATCCAAATTATCACTTCCTTACCATCATTTGCAAGTTTAATTTTCTCGAAATGAAATGTGGAATATGCATACAATTAAACTGTATCAAGTATAGTTTAGCATTTTCAAAGCAAACTTCAGATTTTAATAGTAGGTTTCTGCCGCTAGAGGGCACCAGAATTTCGGATGCATAAAAAAAATACCTTAGTTCTCACAAATCAATCTTGATGTATTAAAAACAAAATAGAGTGCCAGTTATAGTATTTAAAATATTTAGAAAAGTATTCACATGGTTTAATTCTATTCTTTTCCACTAAATGTTTTTCAAATTGAGTTCTAAACATTGCCACTAAATGTTTTAAACTCTTACAAAAGTAAAAAAAAAAATCAATAGACCCATATTTTAAAGCCTTGTTGCAATTTTAAATTGGAGATGACCCTTCTTAAGCTCATAAATTACCTCCCTCTATCAAGAGTAGAAATTTGAGCTTAGTGATTTTTTCCTTATCTAACACGTTTCCTTCCATCCACTTATGTTCGAGTGATTTGTTTAATCCAACATTTAGAAAGCGCATTTTTCTCGAGTAATCAACTGAATTGCAAAGGAATGGCAGAGGTCTGTGCTTTCAGTCTCACAATACTCTGATAGACTGGAGCATCTTGCATAAAAGCACACCCAAGATGTTGGAACTCTCTGTCACTTGGGTATTTGCCTAAAATGTCCTTTCCCCAAGCCCAGCAAATTCAAGACAGAACTCCAATGTTGGTCCAGCTTTCTCTAGCACCACATCTGATCCTACAGAAAAATTAATGATCCTTTCCCTGTGATTCTCTGGACTCCTACAACCCTTGGTGCATCCAATGCAATCACACAAAGGAAATATTGAGTAGGAACCTACTCCGTGCCTCAGAACCTGACTCCTTTCATTCAAGGAGTTCACAGGATAACAGGGTGACAGGAAAACAAAATGCAAATACATGCCAAAATGAAAGTATATAGTGGTGGAGGAAGCTCAGAAACATCATGTAAACATTTATTACTGAAAGAAATATTTTCAAGCACCATCTTTGCACTCAACTTTGAAGAGAACTTAATTTACTATAGATATGCATACTTCATGAAGAAGGAACACATAATAGATCCCACTCAAGCACTTTTGATTTAATATATTGGAAAATAAGAAGTCACATTAAGTCTAGAGGAGAGAGAGAGAAAATAGAATTTGAAAAATAGTTTTTCTCCTAACTTTATACAGAATGGAATGGAATTGGGATGGGTGAATGGAAGGGAGGGAACTGAGCCATCAGCCTTTGATTTATGGCCTTGAAGGCAGTGGTCCCAGGGCCTGAAAGGGGCAGGGGGAGCTCTGTGATCTCAACAAAGTTACCCAACTGCATCAGGTCTTGCTTTCTTCATTTATAAAACGAGGAACTCATATTAAGTGATCTCCAAGGATCCTTCCAGCCCCACTATGCTGTGATTCTTATGTTGCCAGCGACCAGAATGGAGGGAATGGAGTGGTGGAATGTAAAAGCCATTATTCCAGGGAACCAGTAAGCACTTAGTGACAAACTGGATATGCAGAAAATGGGGGAAAGAGGGAAACAAAATATATCATGGATGTAGAAGCACTTGGAAAAGCACGAAGTCCTCTACAATGTATAGAGCTATCGTAATCACTGTTAATCAAACCTGGCTCCAAGTCCAGATGACAGGAGGGCGCTGGCGTGATGGCAGGGAAGTGGATCAAAATCAGAAGAGCTGGGCCTTGGAGAGAAAATGGCATGCCTTTCACATGCTAATTGACTTACCCCCCACCTCTCTGGATTATTGAGATGGAGAATACCACCAAGCAACAGACCAAAGAGAATTCTCCTATTTTCATGCAACTTCTGTCTTTATTCTTAGAGTCTGAAAACACTTCCTGGAAAGTAAAGAAAATAGCTATTCAAATTTGGTAATTAGAAAGATTTGCTAATCCTAGCACTCTGGGAGGCCGAAGCGGAAGGATTGCTTGAGCCCAGGGGTTCGAAACCAGCCAGAGCAAGTGCTAGACCCTGTCTCTACAAAAAATAGAAAAATTAGCCAGGCAGTGGTGAATACCTGTAGTCTCAGGCTACTCAGGAGGCTGAAGCAGGGACATCTTGAGTTTGAGGTTGCAGTGAGCTATTATGACACTACCGCACTCTAGCCTGGATAACACAGTGAGACCTTGACTCAAAAAGAAAAAAAAAAAAAAAGATCTGCTGTCTTGTAAAGATTATTCTGATGGTTAGTACATCTAATCCACAGAATTGTTTTTCTGAAAGTCAAAAATAGAAAAACTAGGCTGGGCACAGTGGCTCACACCTGTAATCCTAGCATTCTGGGAGGCCGAGGCAGGTGGATCGCTCAACGTCAGGAGTTTGAAACCAGCCCGAGCAAGAGTGAGACTCCATCTCTACTATAAATAGAAAGAAATTAATTGGCCAACTAACATATAGAGAAAAAATTAGCCGGGCATGGAGGCTCATGCCTGTAGTCCCAGCTACTCAGGAGGCTGAGGCAGGAGGATCACTTAAGCCCAGGAGTCTGAGGTTGCTGTGAGCTAGGCTGACGCCACAGCACTCACTCTAGCCTGGGCAACAAAGTGAGACTCTGTCTCAAAAAAAAAAGGAAAACTAATGAGGAAGAAATGACATTTAAAATTGATCAAGGAGTAAAATACATTTAGACTTGTATTTCCAATCCACAATAGACTACAGCACGCTGGGTGCCCTTGGAGAGGCCTAGAAAGTTTTTGGCCTAGATAACCATGCCACCATGTGGTTCCAAACTCCCTGGAGTTTCGCCGAAACTGCTGTCGTTGGCATGGGCTCATCCTTGGAGTTCACTAACTAACAAGGCAAGAACAAAAGGGCTGGCCATTGCTCTTCTCAGGAGAGTTTGATGGAAACATACCTGTGAATCTCTGGAGTTGTTACCATGACATGTGTCCATGCGTTTGCAGAACATTGATTTAAAAAATATTTTCCTGACTGATGGAAAAAAAAATTCATTTATGCTCACCTACTCCTGCTAAAAAGTTATGTAGTGCTTCATGTGGTGCTACATAAAAATAAAAAGGAAATCTTTAATTGACTATAAACAGGAAAAAATTCTATTTTTCTAACTTAATGTTAAAATTTATATGTAACTCAGAAGGATATACCTAAAACAGTGCCTTTTTAGAAGGATCACAACCTAAAATGAAGAAGCCTTTCACATTTCTGTCCTTTTTCCTTCACATAGAGCACTTCTCAATCCACAGACTTGACTCCTGTTTTATAAGGAGATGACTACAAACACAAAAGATTCGCCCTAAAATCTAGCAGGCAAAGTGTGGAAAAGTACCACTTATTTATAAGTGAGCAGCTCTGTGACTTCAATTTGCAAGAAATCATCATCCATAAATCATGAGTTACTTATTAAATAAATGATTAACTGCCCAGAAGTAACTACACTAACAATCTGCACTTCCAGTTCCTGATCTATAAAACCACAGATGATACTAGCTCCCGCCTCACAGGATTCTTTGTGAGCATTAAATAAATTAATGCATGTAAAATGCCTGGCCCCATGTCTGACACACTGTGATCCTTCACTGTAGACTCTCATTAATACTATTCGACAGTGACTGATAAGAAATGTCACCACTGTCATTTAAGAGACTTCAAGAAAGTGCCAACCTCACTGTCAGCAATGATATGATATAATTTAGGAACTGCAGGATGATGTAATCACAATTTTTTTGAAAGTATTGACACTCATGACTTCTAGGAAAATTTCCTAAGATCTAACTTTTCAATATTTTTCCAGCCAAGCTCAAAGAATCTCTTACTAGAGTGTTCAATAATAATGAAGCTTTCATAGTTCCTCGGCGCTCAGCACAGTGCTCATCACTCCCTAGGTACGTAATAACATTTGGATTATTAATTTACTTTACCAAGTACTTTGACACCAGATAAACGTTACTATTCTCGACAGTGGAAAGACACAATCCCAACACGGATAGACTGCCATTTTGGTTTACAAATCAATTTCTTAGAAGTTTTAGAGAATCTATTCCCCAAAAGCCTCATTAATCCATGTGAACCGATACCCAAATTGTTTCGGAACTAACAATGCTGAATTGGTGAAGCCATAAAGCCCAGCAAGATCTTGTATCCTGTAATGCTCAACCTGAGAGAGGTAAATGCTCCAAGCCTCACGTTCTGAAGTAGAAACCAGGAAAGAACAAGTCTCGCAAGGTATGTTGTGACACACAGTTCTGTAGTGTTCTGGCACCAATGCAGCCTTCACTGTACTCTTCTTCATTTGCAAAGAAATACCTGACATTTGAGTGTCTCCTATTTCACTACAGTTGTTCAACAAAACAACAAAAGAGAAAGTATAATTCTTACTTGTTTTGTTTTTTTGTGTTTTTTTTTTTTTGAGACAGAGTCTCACTTTGTTGCCCAGGCTAGAGTGAGTGCCGTGTTGTCAGCCTAGCTCACAGCAACCTCAGACTCCTGGGCTCAAGCGATCCTGCTGCCTCAGCCTCCCAGGTAGCTGGGACTACAGGCATGTGCCACCATGCCCGGCTAATTTTTTCTATATGTATTAGTTGGCCAATTAATTTCTTTCTATTTATAGTAGAGATGGGGTTTCGCTCTAGCTCAGGCTGGTTTCGAACTCCTGACCTTGAGCAGAGCAATCCACCCGCCTCGGCCTCCCAGAGTGCTAGGATTACAGGCGTGAGCCACCGCACCCAGCCTCTTACTTGTTTTAATGGCTATAAATGACACCCAGGAGAGTCAGGATGGGATAGAAAAATTAAAAAGCCTGGGCTTTATTACTATCAGACAGGTCTGACCTTGACTTCCATAGCACTGATTACTAGTGGTGACCTTGGCTAAATCAGTTCTCATCTCTTAGCCTCAGTTTCTCCTTTAATAAAATGGGTTAATAGATTAAAAGATTGGAGTCAGACTGCCCAAGTGCAAATCCCTAATTTTTCCTAACTTTGTGAACCTCAACAAATGATATAACCTCTCTATGCCTCAGTTTTCTTGCATATGGAAAAATAACTCTATCTCCTGCATAGGATTGTAGTGAGGAATAAATGAGAAAATCAGCCTAAAGCACCCAGCACAATAGTTCATATTTAGTTAGGAAGCACTCAATAAATGTTAGCTATTTTTACGGTTAACTTGTGATGGGGTACAGGAAACTACCCCAAAATATGGTACCTGGCTGTACTGAGTTAAACTGAAGGAAATTGAGAAAATCACAGAAGCAGAAAGATCTCTCTGAACTTCTCCCACACCTCCACTCGCTCTCTCTCTCCCTTTTTTTTTTCTTTGAGACAGAGTCTTGCTCTGTCACCCTGGCTAGAGTGCAATGGTGTCATCATAACTTACAGCAACCTCAAACTCCTAGGCTCAAGCAATCCTCCTGCCTCAGCCTCCCAAGTAGCTGGGACTACATGTGCCATCACCACTTTCTAGGGCTATTTTTTTTCTATTTTTAGTAGAGAAGGGTGTCTCTCGCGCTCTTGCTCAGGCTGGTCTCAAACTCCTGACCTCAAGCAATCCTCCTGCCTCAGCCTCCCAGAATGCTGGGATTACAGGAGTGAGCCACCATGCCTGGCTTGTTTTCCCCAGTTTATTGCCATTAAGTCAGACTATTTCTTTGTCCAATCATACATCTACACACGTGTCCATTCTTCATCAAACCTAAGCTCGAAAATACAATTTTACAGTTTTCCCTAGGTCTTTGAAGGCTCCCATGTCATGTAAAACTTTGGTTAAACAAATATGTCATGCTTTTCCCTTGTTCATCTGTTTTTTGTTACAGGAGTCTCAGCCACTGGGTGAGGAAAAGATACTATTTTTTTCTTCCTTACACTTGCAAGATTATTATGGGGATTAGAGATCACATACATACAGAATATATATACACCTGCGACCCAAGAGTATTCCATAAATGGTAGCAGTAGTAGCAGTAACAGTTACATTATTATGAAATATTATTGTCCTATTAATGCATCACTCTCTATTCCCAGAATGAACTACTCAGGTGATGACACTCAAATCTTCCCACAACATCCACAGTCTCTATCCTAACCCTAGGCAAGAGCTGAAATCTGACAGACTGTGAGCAAAAAGGAGGACAGAAACCATGTCTTTTCCTTTTTGCAACTCCATTTATATAGTGCCTGGCATGCAATACTGGTAAATCATCCATTTGTCAAAGGGTTTAGCGAATGAGCATGTGCTACTTTGAGTGTATCAATAGCACATACTACATAGGACAAGTCACCAATATGTATTTGTTGAACTGCAATCCGATTAAAGTTAATTGAGGCATGTGAAGTTTATATGAGTTCAACACATCCAACAGCGAGTTGGTACTACAATAATCTTGCTCACCTTTACCGCATAGACAAGAAACTAAGCAAATTATGCCAGTGCATACAGTGCATTGAAGAGAAGAATCAATCACACACTGGGAGGCAAGATTCGGCCACAGAGCATTCTTCCCTGTGTCATCCCCAGGAGCCAGGAGTATCACAGCACATCCAAGCTGTCCTCTGAAATGTGCTGAGAGTTGCATGAGAGAAGGGCAGTAAATAAGCAAATTCTAATTCTTCTGCACTTGTAGAAAACAAATCCAAAGCTCAAGCTTCTGACATTAGAAAACCATTCCTATTACTATTGGCATGGTACAGACCCAACTAACAATTCTTCCACGAAAAACAGTTCTTCCATGAAGCCCTTACCAGTTCACTAATTCTTTGCAAAGGCCATAATTCAACCTTAAAAACAGGTGTAGAGCAACAGTAGGACAAGTTAAGCAACACAAGAAAGCAATCAGACAGACCCAGACACTTTCCCTGGGGCAATTAATCCAGTTCCTTTAAGAAGTTAGTGACTGGCTGGGGGTGTAGGGTGGGGGGAGGAGGCAGGGCGGAAGTTGTGCTAGCTGCAAGGATCACGCTTTGGTCTGCCTTCAGACTCAAAATCCTGGCAAA